TGGGTTCTGTCCTCAGCCCTAAGGGAAGTCTTCTGGCATTTTTTTCCCTGATGTCCCCCGGCATCACAACTTGTCTGTTCCTGTGCCTCACTTAATTCATCACTTCCAGTGCTTGCAGGCAGGCAGTATAAAAAGTTGATTGCCAATTATATTCATGTCAGCGGTGACAATGGGTTTCTTCCTATTCCTGATGTATAGCTCCTTTCGTGTTATGAATAGAAAAAATATCTATATTTAGTTGGCTGTCATTGTTTGGCAAGAAAGTGTTTTTGAAAGGAAGTGTATATAAAGTGGCTAAGTTTATTTTACTTTCTACCACAGGCCTCTTGAAGTATTGTCTCAAGCTGTGTTAGTGCTTGAGATGCTACAATGTGAATTTTTAAAATAACTATTGGCACACCTCTTACAACTTTCTGAAGAGGTGCAGTCATGTTTGCAGAAGCATTAATTATGCCATCTGGTAAGCCGTAAACATCAGACTTTGAGGAATACATTTCTTCATAAATGTGCACAGTTTTCCCAGGGAAGACCACTATACTACTGCAGCCATGGCTCTCTAGAGGTTTCTGATTTAAATTATCACCTCTCTAGTTCAGTTACTGTTAGCTGGAGCTTCTGAGCCCTTGCTCCTAACCAAGGTCCCTATGCTTCTAACTGATTACATTCTGGCAAATGTTCAGCAGTAACAACGGTTGTCATAAAGGGCCTTCATTCCATTGGGATTTGTTGAAACTCTTGCAGTTTTCCTTTTCCTCTGCTGTTGCAACTGTGTGGGTTTGGTCATAAATGACTCAGTGCAGTTTGCATAGTGAAGCAGGTGTGGGCAGCAGCTGTCTTGGTACTGAGGTGTAACTGAAGTGTCTTTTGGAGCTGAATAATCCATCTTTTCCTTCTAAAAAAGTTGATTGTAAGAACATAAACTGAAAATCTTTATTCAAGTTCAGGGCTTATTCCAGGTTCATAAATCCCCCCTACTTGTTTGGTAAGGATGACATTCTTGTGAGCCTTTCTTTATCGTAGCTTTTCTTTAACTGCAGGAGATGCATACCATTACCCTACCTTTGTGAACCCTGTTCGCGGAATAAAAATGTTTTGGGGACCTTCATCCATTACAGACTAATGTCAAGGAAAAAACTTGACAGAATATACCGTGAAACTTGTGTTCAATTTTTGTCCTAGGAGAATCAGAGCAGTGTCCACTTCTCAGCAAGTATATTCTTTAGTTAATCTTAGTAGATAATGCTTCTTTATTTTTAATTAAGAGATTATGATAATGACAGTTGGTAATGAAGAGCAAAACTAGTTGACTTGGCATCTTGGCTTGCTTTGACAATTTTTGGCAGATGCTTTGTATTCTCACATCGACCTCCCCTTCGTTCATTTGAGAGTCTTCATTCTAGTTATAGTTGATTCCATCAGCTGCATTTTTATTATGACACTACTTACTTTGGTTTTCTTTTTGTTTTTCAAGTATTAAATAGAAAAATAATTAAACTTTTCCTTGGATTTCCTTGAATCCATAGGATTCCCCAGGAATTAAAATAGTATGTGCCAATCTGCATTGACCTGGATAATTCAGTATTGGACCCTGTATTTCTCTGACATTTGCAAGATCGGTGGAGATCTTACTAGGGTACAGAGTATGTGAAGGGAGGGTTCAAAGAGGGAGCCATCCTCTTTTCTTTGGCATCCCATGACAGGACAAGAAGAATGGGCACAAATTAAAACACATGAAATTCAATCTGAACGCAAACCAGCTGTTTCATGGAGTAATTCTGCCAAAAATGAGCACAGTAATTCATGCTTCTTTCTCAAAAGAAGAATTTTGACCAATTTTTGCAGCTTAAGTGATTGCTGTTACCAAGGTTACTTGAAAGTATTCCTAATATACTGAAAGTTCAGTATAAATCAGTGAGGTACAATTTCAAATCATGTAACAAACAGAATTGCTATGTTGGGAGGTGAGGAGAGATCCACTACAGGGCCTCTTCAAGATACTGGTACAGTTTTACAGTTTATCACTTTATTCATCCCAGTGTTCTAATTTGTAACTTGAATTTGATACAGTCTTCAAAACTTCTGTACTTCCTTCCAAACTACTTCTCTTCTCAGTTTCTGCTTGGAATTTGGGGCATGTTGTTTTGTGGTGCGTTTTTGGGTTTTTTTCCTTTAATGTGCTATCAGTACAGATTGGAAGCGCAGTCTGGTTTTACAGTCTCAAGAGAACAGAGTAAATATAAATACACTGTGTAGCTACTAGCAGTCACTTTTCCTTTTGTACAGTTACTTTATGTAAGTAAAGTATCAAAGGCTGCTATGTAGCTGAAAGGTCAGGCAAAATCCCTTCTTTCAGCTACCATGATCCCTCTTCAGTACCTTCTTTTTTAAGCATTTGTGAAATCTGAAGTGCTGTTGCTTAGATGCCTGTGCTTGAGCTTAGGAGTTGCCCTCTCCCATCATCTGGAGTTACAGCTGTGCTTTTAGTGAAATGCATGAATAGACATTGTCTGTGAGTTCTTCCATGAAATTGGCCTTGCTTATCTAATCTAAGTTATCTGATGCTATAGGTGGTCTTTAAATATACTTGCACTGTGTAGGCTCCTGTTCTGAGCAGCCTTGGCAACCAAGTGAGTTTGATATTTTTGGGCTAAATTTAAAGTAAATCTACTTGCTGCTTCTTAGAAAAGCTACTGAAGGAATTTTTTGAGGAGAAAGAGGGTAAAGAAGGTAAACATGCTTTCAAAAAACTATTGTTTATACTAGGGAGGCATGATAACAGCTTTTAGAAAAGATGAGAGAGCAATAGAGGGTGGCCATCATTTTTCAGAAAGTTAATTTAAGTAATCAAAAAACTTCCAAGGTTTTAAAAATCACTTTTATCCCAAATTGGGATGAAAGTAATATCTAGGGGTGGGAAATTCCCTCATCTTGTAGAACTGGAAAGGTTTGAGAGTGATGGTCATCAAAGCTTTGAGAGCAGAACCATCCTGGCAGGGCTGGCAGCTGGGTGGCTGGTGCTCTTGTGGGTGCCAGACAGAAAGCCAGCAGGGAAAGGGCACATTTTCCTTTCAATTCTTCTTTCCTTTGAAACTTGAGCAAAATATATGGAATCTGCAGATGTTCTCCTTTTTTACCCCCTAAGCAAAACCAGTGTTTTCAGACATGCCCAAAAATCTGCTGACATTTCTGAGAGTAACCCTTGGCTTTTAGAATTATGTGGGTTTTAAATCCTCATGAGCGATGTGATCTAGAAAACATTATTGTTCATTTTATACAATTTGTCACTCAGATTTGTTATTCAAGGAACAACTGTCTGAACAAGTTGCAGAGTTTATTTCCTCTGCTGCTGCTCTTTATTTAAAAGGTTACTTTGTGGATAGGATATTTTTGTGTTGTGCAACTCTTATTTTGAATAGCAAAGAGATACCAAGTTTTGTTCATAATGCCTGATGATAATTTCTGTGTTCCACAAATTACTCAAACAGCAGTTACCTTGCTCTTTTACCTCCTTACCTGACTTTCGGAGTGCAGTTTTGTAATTTCCATTCTTCTAACAGAATGAAAATGTGCACAGATACCAGAATTTGTAACCAGATATTTCTTTATCAAGCAGCAAGGTAGAGTGCCAGTATCTTGTGATCATTTGTTGCCTGATGGTGACAGTGCAGTCTGATGAGATGAGGTGATAACATTACGCTAAGCTGTGTGGAGGGATTTGTCGTGGGGCCAAAGCAGTGCCACTGCAAATCTCATATAGATGAGCCTGAGCCCAGCACAGGGGAACCACTCCTGCCTTCTGCTATCTCCCCTTCTCTCAGCAGAGCAAAGAGGTGCCCAGAAGTGCATGCAAGCAGAAAACAATGGGATTTCTTGCAGATACTTTGCAATTTTCATATATAGCTAGAAGACAATGACTCTCTCACACTTGGTGCTAATTGAAAAGAAAGCACTAATGCCATATTGTCAGGCTTATTCCCTCAAGCCATTTCAGAAATCCTTTCAAAATGTACCCACCCCTTCAAAGAGATGTGCAATTGTTTGTTATTTCTCGTAAAACTAATTTGCATCCATAAATAACATTGTGCAGATTCTGGGAATGAGAAATACATCTTGGTGAAGGTAAACCACAGTGGTATGCCTTTTAGATACTTCCAAGTTAGATTTAAACTGAGTCTGTCCTCCATGTGGAAATACTAGGATGAGGAAGCACCACCCAAACCCACATGGTTTTGTTTGTGGGGAGAGCAGGAGATGCTCAGCAATAACTGGCTGATCTTTTAAACTTATCAAAGGACTGCTGTTTGTGACTTGTAAAATGCAGTGTATGCTACTTGTCTGATCCTTAACCAACCATATGCAGTGAACTGCAATCCCTGAATGTGTTTGGTAGTACTGTTTTATGAAAACCTAATGAAAGTGAACTCTTACCCCACCAAAATACCACTAAGTTTGAGAGTGATGTTTTAATTCTGTGAAAAACTCCATATAAGATAATTAATTTTTGACACTGTGCTGGGAGCATGAGCAGAATTGCCAGCAAGAGATCACTGATGTTGGAGTAAGGGCCACAAAGGTGATTAAGGCACTGGAGCATCTGTCATATGAGGAGAGATTGCGTGAGCCGGCACTGTTCAGCCTGAGGCAGGGAAGGCTTGGTCGGGGGTGAAGGATCTCATCAGTGTGTGCAAAAGCCTTGTGGCTTGAGGGGTGAAGAAACAACCAGGCTCTTCTTAGTGTTGCCCACTGGCTGGGCAAGTGGCAACAGCACAGAGTAGAACACATTTTTTACTCTGGCCTGTGGTCAAAGACTGCAGAAGGGTGCCCAGAGAGAGGACTTTGGTCTCCTGGGTGCCAAAGTTTGTTGTCTTGCTCTCAACACAATATTAACTTACTCGTTACATAGATTGACTTCAGTTGTCTAAATGTCTGATAGGTTATACTTCAGTCCAAATTCCATATGAAGCATGTCTAAACAATTTGCCTTTTTTTCTCCTGTATAGGTTCTTGGAACGCCTACAAGGGAGCAAATTAGAGAAATGAATCCAAACTATACTGAATTCAAATTCCCTCAGATTAAGGCACATCCATGGACTAAGGTGAGTCTATATGATCTGAATAATAAAGATGTGGGCTGAAAGTAAAAATTCAAGTTGTTCAGTTTGTTCAATGATTTGGTGGCTTTCAGTCTAAACTGGGTGCCTTTAACTAAGCTGGGGACCTGCAAACTTTTGATGTAGCTGAGGAGAAGACGATATTGAAGCAGTATGTTGTAGTATCTGTTGGTCTGGGGGTTGCCTATAGGTGGATTGTTTTTTGTTTTGGTTTGGTTTTTGATCATGGTGTGTATGTTAGTAGCAGATTGCAATATTCTGCATACTGTCATGCTATCAGCTGATATGCACAAAAGTCACATAGAAATTAGGAAAGTGTTCCAATATGTATATGGCACTTTTGTAGTGCTGTTAATTAAATAGTGTGGTGAGGGCTGAGAGTCACTTTCTTAAATGCTTCTCTCATAGATAATATTCTGTTTGTACTTCTGTAAGTGTGCTGTTGAGTGGAGATGTTTTTTTCTTGGAGTTCTTAAGATTTCTTGTTATCTGGCTTCATAGGAAGACACCAATGCAGTACATGCAGGCAATATGTGACCCCCATGACCAAAGAGAAAACTGCTAGCAATGAAAAAAAATACATTGCTGCACAATTAATTAGTCTTCCACATATCAAGCAGTGATGAATATTTGACTTCAGAAAGAGTAACAATCATTTAGTCAGCCTCTTGGGTGTGGAATAAGTTAAATACTGAGTCTCAGACAACTGAAGCTGGGTAGTTAACATTTCCCCTGGCTGCATGAGAAATGTCTGTTATAGTCACAGTGTATTTCCATTCCATCTCAGCACTCAGGTTTCCTTCTGCTAAGAAAGTAATATCTGTGTGTGGAAGGGTTGCATGCCTAGCTGAGCACATGTCCAGGGCAGATTCTTTTGGACCAAATACTCTATGGCAGTAGAAATATTGAATAAACTAAATTGAGCTACTTGATAGCAGGCCATATACTGGACAGTACATGCCAGGGCAGTACTATACGTCACTGTTCTTGTGGTAGATTCTCCAATGAGTATTTTCCCCACTAATCCATGGTTTGTGTTTCCATCTCAGAGTTACTGTCTGTGTGTTGGTTAAGTGATATATAATAGTAAATCCAGCAAGGCTTTTTAATATCTTATGTTGCTGAGGGAAAAAATTAGAGCAGATGAAGTCTCTGGGAGTGATCTCTTCAGTTGTGCATTGTATCCTGGCATAAGTCACAAGAATAAGTCCAAAAACCTTGTAGCACTGAATATTAGGTTTGCATCTGAATTCTTGCATTGAAGGCGTTGGGATTAGGGGACGTTAAATTAATATACAGTGGAGTAGAAGTGCAGAGCTGTACTGTAGGATATGGAGTTGAGTTGCAGGGTTAGTTTAAATGCTTATCTTAGCTTGAAGAGTCTTAAAAATGTGTGCACTTGATGGTCTCTTAGAACACAACTTTTAGCAAATGGAAGCTTCACAAAAAGACTGAACTTCCTTCTATTTATAAAGAATGGGGTTTTTTGTTGTAGTAGAGGATCACAGGTGAAATTAAGACGTGAGACAAGCTTGCCAGAAGATCAAATTTGCCTTCTCCATTAGGTTACAATTAGTTTTGGAGAGCTGTGCTTGCAGTAGAGCTTCTCATTCTCAATTCATTCTGCGCACAGCCCTTCCTGACGTCAGCTGGGTGTAGAGTAGCATTTAAACCAGTTTATTGCAATTGGGTTACATGAGACTTCGTTTGTGAGATCTGTACTTATTATACAAATGCTAAATTTAAAAAATGGATTACCCAGCATGATGCTGGTAATGATGCTTATCTTCTTGGTGTATTACTTCTCAAGATCCTTTCCTTTCAACAATTTGAGCATGATAGATTAAGTAGTAGTATTACTTAGAATTGGTTCTTACCCTGTTGTATTTGATATAACATCTGATGACATGTCAGTGGGCATAGGCAATCCTCTCAGATCTTCTCTATCTTAGAATTGAATAGTGACAAAAACCTCTTCAGAGCTTTGGCTTTGAAAATGCAGGAGTGACTGGAGAAGTGAAAGTGATAATGTTGTCAGTTGTTTTTCTACTTTTGTTGCAATTGTGTGTGTAACTAAACTGCAACAGCTAGCTGCCAACTTGCAGCTTCAGAAGCACAAATCTTTGCCATCTAAGTTGAAAAATTATTGAAGATGACAATAGGCAGAAGGTGGCTATTTTTGTTGAGTAGTTATGACCAAAGAACTCAGCAGAAAGAAGGGTTTTTTTGTATTGTGAAATAACTTCTAGGCAGCTACTTTCAGCATGTTTGAAATAGAACTGCTGAGAATATGGTCACTCCCTGCTGTAAGCTCTTCGACACAAGAGCATTCTCCTGGTTTTGTGCTGTGTAATAGAACATGGGTATTTGTCAAAGTTGGGTTTGTAGACCCTGCCTGGAGTTAGTTTCATGCAGTTGAGGTGCCCAGAGCATGTTTCTATGCAGTCTGGAACTGGTTGTTTCCAGGCCAGTGATCTATACAAAAATAAGGTCTTGCTTTCAGGGGACTTCCTCGGTCTGCAAAAGTGTGCATAGAGGGTAATTAAGATTTTTCTTTGGAAGCTGTAGTATCTGTAGGTTGCATCTGAAATTTTGTGGTGCTGACTTGAATAGGATGTATCTGGTTCTGGTCTGCTCTCTTAGGCATTTCTGGGAGGCACAGATATGTTACTTTCCTACTCAATATTGCTGTGATGATGTGTAATCCACTTACACTTGCTGTTACCTACTTGTGAAGAAGAATGGTGGCTGGTGCTATAGAGCAATGTAATATATTCTGGGTTTTTTAAGAGACAGAGAAATTGTTTAACTCTGAAGACAGACAAATGAAGGGATATTGTTTCTCAAATTCAATACATTTTGGGCTAAAATTGGAATTTTGAGCCCAAGTTTTACAGATGTTTGAATCCTAACTTCATAGATGAATCTTAGGCTTTTCAGTAGAAGTGGATTGGTATTATCCTAACACAGTATTGATACCTTCCTTCTTAAATTATGAAAGCGGTCTAACTTACACTCTAAAAAGTACTTTTCTATGCTGCAGCAATAGTATGAGTTTGCAGTACAAACTGTTCTCGGACTGATTATTCAATTTGTTGATAATTTGAGAATGAAGTAAGTTTGTAACTTAAGAGTTGGAATCTCCCCTTCTAAAACTTACAGAGGCCTCTCTCTCATTTCCAGTATAGTTTTGTGTTGGCCAAGCATGTGTGTGTTTTTATACCAGTTTACACGCATGAGGCACCTAATGATGGAAGTTCAACATATCCCTGGCTAGCCAAAAAAAAGAGAACCTGAACTTTCCAGGAATCTCTCAAACCATTCTTCAGAAACAGGGCTTTCCTCTTGTTTTCCTCTGTTACCTATCCCTACAACCCCAGCCTCAACCGGAGGAATCCAAGACATTTTTGTTCTTTTGCAGGGGTGTTCCTTTCAGAATACCAGTGTGTTTAGCAACTTAAATGTTCTTTTCATCCAAACGTCCCATTATTTTCACTTTGAACAGAATATTTTGTATTCATGGAGGTGCATCTTACAGCCTTTCTGCTTTGGTCTGTGAAGTAAGTGGCATCTGTTTTAAGAGAAGCGGTGTTTTGCAGGGGTGTGAATATGGCTGACTTATAACAGTCAGAGAAAATAATAGGCTTTTAAACACACAGTTGTGTCTTCGGGTATATCTTGGGTTGGAAAACTGGTCCATTTTTTCCAATGATGTCAGCTCATAAAATAAAAGTTCCTACCCTTTCTGGAGATTTGCTGCTATTGTTTTTACTGGGTCATATTTTTGCTTCTGTCTTTCAGCCACCTTGACTTCTTGAGCCTTCTTTCTTCTCAGAAGTGCAGTCTGATTTGTGCTACTAATCTTTATACCTGTTTCTCTTCTGCTGACTAAGCTTCATCTATACCATATAACTCTGTGACTGGAAAGCCAAGGAGGAAATCCAGGATCAAGTGCAAGACTGTAAATCACAGAGCTGTTGAAGTTCAGCTCTGGTGATTAGTTTTCTGTGAATCTTTTGGCCCTTTTGGAAGGGGGCAGGGACAGTGGGACAGCCAACAAAAGGTCTAAAGGCATTTTTCATAAGCTCGTGGTAGATTGGTGTTACTTACCCGTGGCCCCTTACAGCTGCCCTCTATTCTGGCATTACTCAGATGCTACCTTTAGGTCTCAGATCCCTGCAGTAAAGAAAAACAAAGGCAGTGCTGTGATAACTTTCAGAAATATATAAAATGTCCAGCTGTGACAGCCTGCCTTTCCTCTTGCATTTAGCTAGTAAATTATCTTATTAAGGTTGTAGTAAATGTAATAGGATTATGTAGTTTAGGTCCTTTCTGTGTAGGGAAAGGGACTCTCTTGGATCTTTTCTTTTCCCCACCCAAGCATACTGCCACTTGTTTGCAAATTTAATGTCAGGATAATGAAAGATATATATGCATAAATATGCCCATGTTTCATGATGGCAGAACAATACAAGTTGCAACAGCAAAGGCAGTTTTCTTTACTTAATCATAACCTCTGCCTTGTCTCCATTGTATAGACATGGAAACAGTTTCTACTGCAGGCAGCTCTTAAAAATGGAAAGTGAGTCTCTTCAGTGTGCTGTGGTTTGGTTGCTTTTGTTTCTTCTGTTCTGAAAGTACTTGCAAGATTTTTCAAATATGCAGGCACTTATTTTAAATTACTTTTGGTGAGATAAATTCAAGTGTACTCAAGAGAATGGCTTTATTCACTGTCCCCAAATCTATACTTAGCTGGCATCTGAGTAATAATTTCCAAGTAAGTGTTGAGTTGGAAAAAGGCAGGATTCATTTGCCTGACAGTGGAAGAGACAGGGAGAAAAACTGTCTCTTGTTTAGATTAGTTTTGAGCATCTCTGCCCCTCTGTTGTATACTGTCATGGGTAAATACAAGGACTTTTCTCTACCTTACTTTGCCTTCACAGTAAACTTCTGGGAGATTTGGGCAGGATCCCTCCCAACTTCGT